CCGATACATATTTTAAAATTTATAACATTCATTAGAGCGTCATTTAAGTGTTTATAGTTAAAAATTTCTCATCGTATAGATTTAATTAATTATGGATAAAACGCAAATGAATCATATAAATAGGTAAAAATATTTTTTATTGCGTTTTGGGTCTCCATAGACTTCGTGTCTTTAAACAAGTATTTATTTAGAAAAAATAATTTAGTCCATGAATAGTTCACTGCATAAGGATTTTATTTACATGGTTTTGATTTGTATTTCATAATGATAGTGTGATGGACGAGCTGGGATTGAATACGCTGAAGACAGTTGCAAGTGTTGTGAGAGGCGCACGCGCACCCATTATGATTAATCGGAAAAAAATAAGACTATTTGTAACAGTTTAAAAGATTATATTATTTTTTCTCATATATTTTGTCAATTAATACTCACATATTTACTTTCTTGAGCTAGAAGCTATAGCAGGCTAAGAGTTGTAAAATATTTTAAGTATGTATTGTTAAGACGTTAAAATTTCTTATAAATTTTGTTCCGCCGCCATTTTGTTGAGATTCGTCACTCGGTGAGTATCGTTAGACTAGTGGTGGACGCCGGCGGTACTGGTAGCGAAAAGAATATGTATGTAATTACAATAAAAGTGTATGCGAGACACCAAGAGATGCTCCTCGACGACTCTTACGGTCAGTCGCACAAACGTCCATTAATATTAAATGACGACTTTAAGCTCTTACTAATGTTCTTTTGTATGCGTCGGTAGTCGCTTTAAAGTAATGATAAGTAAATAATAATTTAATGGACATTTGTGCAACGGGCAGATAATCGCGTAGCATGCCTACCAAGTATAGTAATGTAAAAAGGGCCTTAGGATAATAAAATAACCATAATTGTCTTTCTGCACTGCTATGGTGCAAATATACCGCTCCTTAGACAGAACTAAAGCTAAATTTAGTCTAGCGTGTGCAACAGAATTGCTACCAATGTCCTTTGTTCCTGAGTTGTAAATAGTATGGAATAATACTAATTTCACGTAGCGTAATGGATTACTTCACCATGATTATGATTAGCCAACCTGCGCATGCGCATTCTGTATCGCGTCACGTGCTCACATCTCCGCCGAATAGATCGGATATCTATGACCGTTCTATAAAACATTATATACAGTTGTCTATGGCCATCATCAAATTAAACTGGTACGAATAGAAAGATAACGATTTCATTATAACATATAGGCAAAATTGTAATTTACATTTCGTATGTAGTTGAAGGATATGTTAGTAAAAATAATACTATCACGAAGAAAATTAAAGCTATTATTTTAGACTCGACACCGTATTATACCTATAGGTACATGAGCAAAGTCATCTGTAGTATCCTCAAAGTATTATTATTTAACGATGGGCCAGAGGAAACTGCGCCGGTCGCGTTGACCCGTACACTCCACAAAGTTAACTCAATAAAATACTCACACTATGTACATACACAACACCACATCAACACAATTGGCTCCGGTTCAGAATTAATTATTTATTTATTTCTTATTTTGTCGACATGCAAATTAATTTTGTTGATGCTTAAATTTGCAGTATGCGAGTGTATTTTTTTATGATACCAGTTTCAAAACGTCATAACGATTGATAAAATAAAAAGAAAATTCTTTTTCAAAATTACATTAATGTATAAAAATGTATAAGCAATTGTAAAAAAATTATAATAACATACTAGCTGCATACAAAAATAATAATAAAGAATTTGCTTAAATATATTAAAATAGCTCGATTAAGTTTAGAGATCACAGAAGATGGAAGCTTTATTCTTGCATTGTTCTAAATAATAATTAAAAAAAAAACATAAAAATAATCACAGTTTCTTCAAAAACAACATTGGAATGGCGGATTGGTTACATTATTGTGACGAATAATATACTATAAAGTACCGTAAATATTATTAATGCTTTCTCCATAATCCCCGCACGGTAACGTTACACGCGCTGCCTCCCATATACCACTGGTTTATACTCACAATATTGACCATGTTGAAATTATTATTCATTCCACATATAAAATGACAATTAAGCACTGTTATGCTTTTCCAACTGATCACTACGAGGCAGCATAAGGACGGGTGAGATTAAATCCGTCAATAGAATTGAAAATAAAGTGTTTCTGGGAATATTTTTCGCTTACATCCTGTGGAATTTTACTTAAATAATGTGTCGTGCAGCAAAGTGAGTGGTAAAGCCAGTGGTACAAGAGAGCCTTATAGCAAAACCGAGTCGAATTACCGTATACAATCTTAAAATTTGGGTCCCCGAAACCTAGCTAAAATCCTTTAATCCCTCCTACTTACATTAACTATTATAATATTCGTTTCTAAACTACACTTTATAGGTACAGTCTCTGAGACAACCATTTTGCGAATAAACTCAAAACATATCAATTGTGTAAAAAAATTGTACAAAGTTTTATACGTCATTAATTAGTAAGTACATAAAAATCAAAAAAATACGTATATTAAATTAGTTTTTATAATTGGCACTATTTTTCAGATATTGGAAGTCAAATAAATATTGGCAATTACTGCGTGACAGTATTAATTAGGCAAATATTGTTGAAAGCGCTAACGTAGGCTGGTATAAACTGGCCTCCTTCCAATATGCATTATATATTTATTTACTTAAACACTACATCGATTTAATTTTAAGCTTATCATAGAAACTGTAAATTGTAAAATCATTACTCTTCTATCTAACTGCTGTCATGTAACATTAATATTATAGACACTTTAAATATTACAACGCTTAATGAAACATCTGGAGTCACTAAAATCAGTTCACAAATATCATTATTTGTTTTCTTAGATTTAAAAACTACTTTAGGCCGTTGTTGCTATCAGACAGTAGACATTATTGGGTAAATGTGTCATAAATAGTACAATCATAGTATCATAAGCCACCATTTATGAAATTATTTTTGTTGATGTCGTATACCAGTTTCAACGTAATAGATTTTAATAAAATATCGTTAGGTGTTCCAACAAGGAGATATTGCACGTTTGGAAATATTTTTGATTGCAATATACTTTTAACGGTGACTGTACACTGCGGTAGAATGAGACACACAGTTAGTTTACAGCAGTAACATAGAAACTACGTTACGAGTGAAAGAAAAAAAAATGAAATTGGAATCATAAGTTAAAGTTCATGGAAGTAAAGTTTTTAGACTAGTAATAGATTGATAAGATGAGTATGAAACAGGAATACACTTAAATAGTGACAATGAATTATCAAATAACTTATTTCAACACATAACATTCAAAGACTCACACACATACACACAAACACAACAACATAATCAATCATACACATCAAATGCTTACAATATTTGATATAATTATACTTATCTAACAAAATGCATTGTTGTCACTATACTATGGTTGATTTTAACAAAAGTATAAGTTTACCTCATACCTTATATTACCCCACTAAACAAACGTGTAAATAAATTAATGTCCTATATGCGAATATAAAATAATGTATAATATAAAAAAATACTCTTAAATGTTTACTTACACATCTACATAAGTAGGAATGTAGTAGATCAACAGGCTACCATTTAAAAAACAATAAATTATTTAATTGTATAAGTTGCGTTATTTACGTGCACCGGTTATTGATCCTTCAAATTCTTCGTAATCTAAATTCATTTTATTATGCAATCGTTAATTAACACATGGGAAACAAAACGAGTATGCGTGGCTACTGTGGTAAAATGAAATATCGTCCATGAAGCGAAACGGAGTCGTTACACGGAGGATATTTTATTTTATTCGCAACTTTTGTTAAATTTTTATAGTAAAGCCACAAATTCGTTATACTTTATTGTGTTAAGTCGCACGAGGAATGCTATGAATTTTGTTTATTGCAAATTTGAAAGAAAAATAAGAAGATTGCGCGAAAATAGTATCTATTTATACTACTGTAAAGAGTAGTTTTTATGACAGATTATTGATAAAACGTATTTGTACTTTATTACTAAAGTGTCACGTAATTATGTTCGCACAGACGGTAACCAGTTTCATTTGACATGTCATGTCCATAAAACACGAAACTATTTATATTAAGTAGCAGTCGACTATGTCTATCTCACTCCGATCAATAGTTTTTTCCAGCGAAGCCTCACGAATCCTTTGCGTTGCCGACGCTTCTTAGTCTCGTCCGGTTTATCGAGAGGCCCGTCTTTTGATCTGCGAAAGTTAAAGGTTTCGATTAGAAAGATTTAACGAGTAGCTGTTCGAAACCGGATATCCGGATGAACACGAACGGCGTGTTCTTCGTGGGCGAAGAAGCAATTATGTTTCATTCGTTGACTTGCCATTTGATTTTGAAACATAAAAAGAGTAAGAGACGACATCAACAGATTAGTCAATGAGATGAATACACAAAAGAGACGACTAATGATGAATCGGTGGCCGGATATCCGTATATTTCGGCTCCGGGTGGTCACGGCACCTCCGCTGAAGATACTTAGAATTTTATAATTCGATAAAATCTAAAGATTGAAGTGTTCAGATTCTGTTAGTTTTACACCCGGCAGTATATCGGCGCGAAACTCGACTAACATTTCGACAATTAACAAAGTGACAGAGACTGCGGCCGCACTGAATGATGCCGTGAATGTTAGAACCTTTGTGGCTACTGATAGATTATCGCACTAGACGCATCTGTGCGTGTACAGGTGCGGTATGTATGTACGTACGGTCAGCGCGCTGCGTGGCGGTGGTGTAGAGGGGGCGTGTACAGGTGCGGTATGTACGTACGGTCAGCGCGCTGCGTGGCGGTGGTGTAGAGGGGGCGTGTACAGGTGCGATATGTACGTACGGTCAGCGCGCTGCGTGGCAGTGGTGTAGAGGCGCGGTACGTACGGTCAGCGCGCTGCGTGGCAGTGGTGTAGAGGCGCGGTACGTACGGTCAGCGCGCGCAGCAGTCGTGGTGTACAGGTGCGGTATGTATGTACGTACGGTCAGCGCGCTGCGTGGCGGTGGTGTAGAGGGGGGCGTGTACAGGTGGTGTACGTACGGTCAGCGCGCGTAGCGGGCGTCGTCGCTGGCGTGCGTGAGGTAGCGCGCCCCCACGCGGGCCTCGAGGGCGCGCAGGTCGCCCCACGCCTCGCGCGTCTGCAGCCACGAGTGCGCCACCGACTTGTCCACGGACAGCCGCTTGCGCTGCTTCACTTGCAGCAGGTTGTTGATCAGGTCGATCGCTGGACACGTTACGTCGCAATAGATGATGATTTAAAATAGATGATCAATTATATTGCGCAATATTACGAATGGTGCAATATTATTGACCATTTAGGTTTAATATTGAACATTGCGCAATGATGGAACAAAAGTTTGAGCGACTTTAATTTTTATTGCACAATATTTTTCCATTGCATTGTGTAGGGTCAATATTGCGCAATATTTTTTAGTCCGTGTTTCGTCTTGACGAGGAGTACACGCGCACGTGCAAATATGGCGGAAAAAGATAATCAAAAATTTAAGAAAAGAGAGTTTGTCGTCGAATGTATCCAATTGTATAGAGAATTACCGTCTCTGTGGAATGTCAAGAGTAAAGAATATCATGACCACGATAAAAAAATGCTGCTTACGAACATTGTTGTCTGAATACAAAGAACAAAACTACAGCAGCAACTAAATCTTGTTCGGACATGTTGGACACGGTGCACACGGGATCAACACTATTCTATGACTGAACACGAAAAGATTGCGCAGTTCAATGTGCAATATAATTGATCGTTTGTATTCTAATCGCCTTTTAATCTTATTTTACAATAAAATATACTGTACAATGTTATTGTTGCGTCTAGTGGCTGCCTAATTTCGACTTGGAAGATGTGGCGCTGCATCTACAAAAGCCGTAATTATTTAAATCGTCAGATACAATAAACGCAGTTCGGTCCCTAAAGCGGGTTACGGATAAACTATTTCCGATGGTCGTTACCGTCTGCGGATATCTCCTTCCAGGGCGTGGGCGGGTACATGAAGGCGGCGTTCTGTATCTGCTCGTTTATGTCCTCGTCCTCGTTGAACGGGAACGTTCCGGAGAGTGACACGTAGATGATCACGCCCACGGACCACATGTCCAGTGATCGATTGTACCCCTTGTTCCGGAGAACTTCAGGCGCTATGTAATTATATAAATGAAAATAAACGATACATCTATAAATATCGTCCATCGACATGATACATATTATATCATTATATACAAATATAATTTAATTTAACGTTTGAATGCTAATAACTGTACACGCATACCGTCGCATTGTCCTTTCGTTTATCCATAAAACATAAAAGTAACAGTGTTACGAAAATAGCAAGACAAAAATGTTCAACCGAACATTATTTATTGAATGCGATCTTTTCTTTGTAATAGTGAAATAAAAAATGAAATTGTCATTACTACTATATAAATTACCGAGGTAAGCGGGAGTTCCGACCACCGATCGCCGGAAGCTCTTCTCGCCGATGATTCTAGCGAAGCCGAAGTCGCAGAGCTTCACCTGCGGGAACTCCTCGTCGGTGGAGAGCAGCACGTTCTCCGGCTTCAGATCACAATGGACTATGTTCTTTTCGTGGAGATGCTTCAGGGCCACCAGGATCTAAGGTTTTATATTATTTATATATTGAAAATCGATAAATTCCTAAATATCGATAAGGGTCGACTAAATAGTAGCAGTCATGGCAGCACTATTTATCGATTGCTAAATAGGCATCCATAACAGTCTTTTAGGTATTATTTTGAAGTTTAGCATCAACACACTTCCGCGTGATAATTTTATTAGAATCTATACATTTTAAATTTAATTATATTAAGTTGTATATTAAGCTCTGCTTTCTTATTATTATCCATCTGCATTAACGTTCACGGTGAACATTGTGTCGTATTATGTACGTATTCTAACGGTTATCACCCCGAGCAAAACAACACTAAGTTCAAACTTCAGAGGTCTAAGTCAAGTCGGATGGTGTAATTTGATACTGACCTGAGCGACCAGGAACTTGGTGATCCTCTCGGTGAGTCGCCCCTTCTCATGGGACAGGATCATCTCCAGCATATCACCCTTTAGTTTTTCCATGACAACGAATATTCGCTCCGGCGTCTCGAACATTCGCTCCAAGTTCACCACACCCGGGTGGGACAAATTCTGGAGGATGGCCACTTCGTTCTTGAGTTGGGCTTCTTGTTTCGTAGGGAACCGGAGCTTGTCGATCACCTATTCAGGTGTAAATAGTTTAAAAATAGGTTCATACGTATAGATAATAAAAAATATTTTTTATCAACTGGGTAGATGATATTCCGTAGTTCGGTTGGCGCACTCGACGATAGCACAATTTCCGAAAATTGCTTTAATAGTCGACAGATCAAGAAATATTTCGAAGTAGAATAAGATTTCTAATAAAAATGTATTGGAAAATAAAAACTAGGCAAGAGAACGAATGTGGAACTAGAATATCCATATACATCATAAATATTAAAAAATACCTTCCGAGATAACCGAGCTGGAATGCATGAATCGCTCGGGTGGGTGAAATTTGGTTAGGACTCAATCACCCCCGACATGTGCACGGCGTTACCTTGATGGCGACCGGGCGGGCGGTGCGGCGGTGCAGGCCGCCGTACACGATGCCGAACTGGCCGGAGCCGAGCACCTCGTCCGGGAATATCTGGTACACCTGCGCCATCTCCGCGCGCCGCCCCCCGCCGCCCGCACCCCCGCCCCCGCCCCCCTCCGCGCCGCCGCCGCTCGTCTCCGACCCCGACCCGCTCCCGCCCCCGCCCCCGCCCACCGCAGGCACGCTCTCCGCTATTTATATATACCGATAACATAATATCTCGACCCCCGACTTGATTAAATAGTGTTCCGATTAGACCCTCGGAAATAAAAGACCAAAATCGACACATTTAAGCCTTGGTTTTGGAGTTTTTGGAGTGAACGGCAGTTCGGAAACTTTTCATCGTTCGAGTCGACGAACCCCAAATATTTTTTTACGGTAAGATTCACTTTGCATTAATATTTTAATAGAAAACTGTAGTACGATATGTTAACCAGCTGTGTTACAACCAAAATGGCGTTTCGCGACTGGTGGCGCGCAGCGTGTTAAGATGTTCGGAAGCACTATTTTTATCTCTCTTTGACATATATAATTTTGTCATTGGTATTGTAGACAAAGATATAGGATAATTATCTCTTTGACATTAACGAGGTTTCGGCTATGTGCGACGTGGAACATGCTACCTAATAGCACGTTCTTCGACAATTTGTAAAAGCCAATTGAGTTTTTGTTTTGTAAAAGCTTTTTATCGTAAAACTGCAAGTCCTAGGACAAGTAAGTAAATAAATAAATATTTCCTTTTTTTTTTAAGTATTGTAATTTAAACTAAACCTGTATATAAAATTTGATCTCAGTCTGGCGACGAGTAGAGTGATAGTGACAGTGCAGTGTAGTGTAGTGTAGTGTAGTGTAGTGCAGTGAGCACGTATGCGCGTACCGTGCACGGTGACGGGCATGAGCGCGTGGCGCAGCGCGGTCTCCCAGGGGCGCGCCAGGTAGGCGCCCACGCCGGACTCGGGCGGCTGCCACGCGCCCTCGCACCCCACGTAGTAGTCCACGTTCGCCGTGCGCACCTCGAAGCAATGCATCACCTCTGTTCGCCGTACACCGGATTAGCCAAACATTATTATCACTGTTTTTATGGTAAAAGTCACTCACGTAATTTATATTTTATTTTCTACCTAAAACGATTTAATCACGACGCGAAAAAGTTTAAATGTGACGTGACGGAACCCTGCAAAATAAGAGGAAATTTTCACATCTCTATTCACAGTTTGTTTGAACGTATTTCTCGGGTGCACGTTCCGTCTTCCAGAAATCAGATAAATGTTCACGAGACCGGATATGCTGTTGAAGCAAACCGACGTGAAGGTTATGACTCTCTTTGCCTTAAGATACTAAAATAAAAGTGAAACATGTCAGGTATCGACCTTTTTGGTAATTCTATCATTAACTGGACAGTTTGCTGATGATTTGAAATTTTATTCAACCGTTGCATAAAAAAGCGAACAAAACTGATGTTCGTAATAACCGGCCTATATTAATACTACCAGTTCTCTCAAAGTTTTTGAGAAACTCGTGCATAGTCACCTTTCAACGTTTCTTCACAAATACCAAATCATTACAAAGAATCGATACGCGTGTCAAATGCATAAATCGATACGCGTGTCAAATGCATAAATCGACGACATATGCCGCTTCTTAGTCGATAAAATACTTCAATTGATTGAAAAAAAATCACAACAGTGTTATTAAGAGACGTCGAAAGCTTTCAACTGTGTGACAGGCTATTAGACTATAAACTAAACTAGAGTGTAGTAAAATTAGGGATCCAGTTCTGCACTGGATAAAGACTTGTCTATCTGATAGATTTCGATATGTAGGATTTAATGAAATGAGCCTAAAAAAAATGTCAAATACTCTACTTGTACTTTAATAATTTAGTGAAGTTTTAACACAATTATTTTTGGTATAAAATATTTTGGTACTCGTATAATTAATATAGTTAAATTTTATGTTAACCTACATATTTTTGATACATGCTAATCAAGATGGCAAAATAAGTCAAAGATCTCAATCAACTTATGTATCATCACTGTATATATAACCCTATTTATTGAAATAAACGGATTGCTATTGAAGTAAAGGAAATGGATATATTTTGTTGATACATAATCATAAACGAAAATGTTCACTTGGACCATAGAGTACTACGCGTCTGTCTGTACTCACCGGAGTGCAGCTGCCGCGCGGTGTCCACGGCGAGGATCTCGTTTAGGGGGATCTCTTTGTAATACTTGGTGCCTTGCTCCGATTGAAACAGAGTGATGGACTTGCTGTCCAGTCGCCAGTAGTGGCGCCGCATCTAACCGCATATATTAACAAGTAAAATTCGATCGCATATTACATTCCTACAATAGTTTGTAATTCTTTTGTGAAAACAAAAAAGACCTGTTTTGAAGGGGATTCTCTCATCATCATCGGCCCTCTTACGTCCCCACTGCAGGGGCTCAGGCCTTCCTTATGGATGGTTAAGGAAGATGGGCCATGACCCTCCACGCTGGCCCAATGCGGATTGGAGGGTATTAACGACTGCAAATGCAGCCGGGACCAACGGCTTAACGTACCTTCCGAAGCACGGAGTAGCTCGAGATAATAATTTTTTGGTCACCCATCCCGTGACCGACCCTTGCGAAAGTTGCTTAACGATTACGATCACGGGCCGCGGCGCTAATCCACTACGCCACCGAGCTACTCATAAAAACTAATATCCTCGAGATTGTGCAATAAGACATAGATTATAATATTTAAATGAGAACGATGATAACGAAAACAACCCAGGTATATGGTGGCGAGTGACATAGATGATTCCTCTCACCGTCTTGTCCTTGTTGGTGAAGTGCACGAGCCAGCCTTCCTTGAGCCATTGCCCTTCGCGCTTCTTCGTGTGCTTGACGGATTGTACTATACGCATCAGCGGGATGTTGGCGCTGGGCGATGATGACGAGCTTTAATTATCACATTAAATATGTAGCGGCGTGTTATGTACACCTACGCGGAAGATTAACTTAATAACATTTCATCAAGCGTCTATTACATTCAGCGAGTAATAAGCTTCTAGATGTTTACTATTAGATTGTGAATAGTGTTTTCACCGAATATCGAATACTATTTGGTTTAACCTTTACCGAACCAGATATTCGGTCGAATTATTCGGTTTACCATTTCATTATTTTGCCGCGTGAACAGGTTTAAAAACAAATGTTGATTTGAAGATTAATTGTTTATTTTATTAGCTTTATTCAACACATTCTTCATAGGATTTCTTTGACTATAAGTCAAACTACTACTATAACATAAAACTTACATTAATAGTAATCTGTTTGATGTAGCACGACTATACTGTGCCGTATAGTCGAGGAAATGGAAATTACCGAACCGAATATATACGGCATCTATAACGATATACTGATAAAATTCGGCAGAATATAAATAGTGAAAATATGCCGCATAATATACGCCGGATACCGAATTCCAAACCAATATTCGGCGCATCTCTAATATAAATCTATGAAGAAATCACACTTGTCGATTTTAAACTCGTCGCTTGGAAATAAGCCAGCGAGAATACTTGAAATAAGCATATGCAACAATCCACATTTCATTATATATAGGTATACACACACCTGCTAGGTCTGCTGGCGGAACGTTCGGGTAGGATATCCCTTTGTGGCTCATCCGATTCTTCCTCGTGGTTGTGTCGCAGTTGTACCTGGAACGTCATTATCTTACAGCGCTGTTAACTGGAACTCGGTAAATAAAAGTTTCTATTCCTATTCGTTTACACAATATATGTATTATTTTTCATCTTAATTTGTCTCCTGCTTATCTCCGAGATAATCAAAATTACGACAAAAATGGTGATAAAACGCGCTGCACAAGTACCTCGTCACCGTCGGCGGACGGCGGCAGGGGCGGGGCGCAGTCCCCGTCATCGGACTCGTCGTCCAGCAGCCGCGCGCCGTCCGACACCTCGCTGCCCGTACTGCTGTCCGGGTACTCGCCTATACAGAACATACTTTTGTAAGACTAAAAATATCATTATGATATTCTTGAAATATTAAACGACAAAGCAATAATGACCTGGCGTGTCCCGTATCTCGCCGTTGCAGTCCTTGGGCACGAAGGGCAGGCACTTCCTGTGCGCGTTGTAGTGGCAGTCTCGGCACTGCAGGCCCTGCTTGAACAGTCCGCGCAGCAGCTTCTTGCAGTGGCGGCACACGGTGGGCCGCGTGTACGAGTGCACCTCGAACGTGTGCGGGATGCCCAGCGACGACTGGAACGCCCCGCCCCCGCCCCCGCCCCACGCCGCCACCGCGCCCCCGTTCGACGGCGAGCGGCTCCGCTTGTCGTACCCACCCAACTGATCATGTCAATATCGTTAATAATGATTGAAATTGGTACACTAATCTTTCGATGTCATCATTAGGAGTCGTGCATTTGTTTCAGTAATTTTGTAAACTGGATATGGTTCAGTACGATCACATTCAATAAAATGATCATTCAAACCGTCATTGTTTCCAATAGCGATTGCCACTTTAGCGTTACATAATTACAAAATCATTGTCACAGCCGTTATATTTTTTGAAAGGAGTTACGATAGTTTTTAAATTAGACAATAAGGCCACGAGTTCTAAAGTCTTAAAAAACTACCGAACTGTCAAGAATGTGATTGAAAATATTTCCGTGAGTAACTTTTAAAAATTTCAACTAGTGTATCACTTACGTCGGTTTTAGATAACTCATTATTACTTGCAGTTGGCACAGTATATCAGCAGTCATGTCTATCATTTTTATGTCATCCCGTTTTTGATTAAAAGAACTCTAGATACAACATTGCTTACAAATTCATACTCGAAAACTATTCAATACTAGCATATAGAAATGTAGCTACACAGATTGTTTGAAATCCACAAGCAACTGCTTAACTAAAATAAACTTTACTATAATTTACTCAAGACTCCATAAATAGCATATGATACAAACCCGCAACGTGCGCGGAAATATAAGAAAGAAGTATAACACGACCTATTGCGATAAGTCGACATCTGCGCATTCAATGAGACGATAAGACAACACCACATACATTGTCTAGATTTCAACATCATAGATAGAGCTATCACGTTGTAGAGTATCTGAAAGTACCACAACACCTAGGCCTGAGGCAATGATGGCTCACATACACGTACCATGACAAACTCGAGAGTGTATTGTCTACACCCAAATGTCACTATTTTCGGATGCGCCCATACGATATCTCACTCTGGAGAGTGACGTTTGGGGTAAACAAAGCGTTTCTCGACCTTGTCATGCTATGCGTGCTGCATTTGAAAAAAAAAGCGTTTAGGCCGTTATAAACAGATTGCGATTGTATTGGGAATAACACATTATTATGAAATTAAGCCCAAATTATAATAAAAAAAATTAATACAAATTTCAAAACAAAAATCATGGTTCCAAAATAATCTCACAGACATCAAGAATATCACATGTGATGATGTGAAGATGCCGTTGAATGTTAAAATTAAGACAATGGTATACATTAACACTTTGGATTTCATTCGATATCGATATATATATCCATATTTTTGGGCGTCATTGTATCGATACATATCGGTTTTTCGATATATAGATGTATCCCTACCATTTCCCAATTTAAGACCGATTTCGATCACGACTCACGCATTTGGTGGACGCGCGTAAGTGAATCACTACTTACGGGTTTTCAATCAAAGCATCCCGCACGCAATCTGTTCATGTTTATTGTGCTCTTTCTTTCGCTCGCCTTCGTTTCATTCTTTCGCATACTAAGGTTCATCCATATTAAGTCAGACAATTTCCTTTCAGCTTCCCTGTTACTGGTACCGCTTATACACTCCCTTATGCAACATTTTTTCGTACTCTTATCCTTTCATTCGTCTATTTCAATATTTCTCATTTCGCCTGAATTTATTACAAATAAATGATGCATGTACATTATTTTGTAATTTTAGCCAACGATGTTGTATTGGATGATGGGTAACACAGGTGTTTAAATAAAAATCATTCACCTGAGAAAATACATTTATTCAATAATATCATCGATACAAAACTGTTCTCGAGAATAATTCAGTGCTACCCACCACCCAATGGTTTTTGTTAGTCATGCGAAGCACAAGCTCTTAACTTAAAAAAAAAAAATAGAATTAAATACTGTACAGTAAAAAAAATACTTTAGAATTAAGTCCAAAAATAAAATATAAAACAATAACACTTTACGCTATTCGATTATTAACAAGATAAATGCAAAATATAGTTCCATATCATAGTGTCAGTTTGTTGTTTTATACTTTGATTGTCATTTACATCAGAACGATTGCTAAAAACGGGATTGGTACCATGTATAAGTTATATTTTATGAGTTTTCTACAAATCGGCAACTCATTCTGATAGTGTCAGTTTGTAACGATAAACAATAGTAGGGGAACCCAAGAGGGCAATTTAGGATTTACTCGAGAGTGGATATTTAATGTAAGTTTTTTTTATTGAAGTCGTATTATGTCAATTCCAGGGTACTAGCCAAATCTATACAAGTGGATATCCAAAAAACCACCGATCGACTAAAGCGCATCAGAATAAGAACCTACGTTAATTACATGCTAAAAAATGTACATTTAATTTTATATTATTGTTGGAGGAATCTAATTCCTTCAGATAATCGTCATATTGTGAGGCACAAGGCCTATATGAAATCAGCTATTATTTTGCATTTACAAATCCATACGAACTTTCGGTTTGAGTCTTTAAACCTGTCTTCACTACCGGTTAAAATATTTGCATCATATAATGTTTACATCTTTGTACATTTAAACTCTGCCTAACAACAAACTTTGCTCCTCAAGCTCCCCAACTAAAATCCAACACAGCAAAAAAAAGAAAAAGATTATTATTATATTTGATCTAATCCGCATACAAAATGTTATATTGATATTTACCTTAGAATAAAATAGTTATAAAAATCATTTACTCTTCTTTTTAAAAGTTATCAAATACAATTGGAACACTATGACCCTCATGGCCATATAATATTTTAAGAACAAGATCAAATTAATGTCAGATCACAAAAATAAATACTTAATATATTTTGAATCTATAATAAATTTTATAGATTAATAAAAAATCAGATACAATATTCGAGTATTAAACTACACGTCACACGTCTGTGTTTGGTCATTTTATTATAAAGTATAAATGTGAAAGTATCATAAACCTAATAAATTCGACTCCTGCTTAATAATCTGTAATTCTTTATTACTGCGAAATATATTGTATTAAAAACTATTTTATTGTATAAATTAAATAACTATTCGAATATAAATTGCAATAATAAAAGTTCAACAAACTTAACGTAGTTAATAAAGTGTGAAAATAATAGGGGCGTAGACAACTTTTTTAATTTTATAGATATACATGATATACATCTAAAAAATATCATTCATATAATAAGTTACAATCTAAAAATAAATTTAATTTTCAAAATCCTCTAAGTTCTGATATCAGTAAGAAGGACGTGACGTCACGCGCTGTTTGCAATCACGTGACAGCAACAAGCATAAAATATTTGTTGTCTTTTTTTAATTATTTTTTGTCGTTATCGGTAATAGTATACGACCAAAATGAAAAATGTGTTTATTTTCGTTTACTGTCTACACCCGTATTATAAAAGGTAAAGCAATACATATATATAATATAAATAATACTACAACACAAACTTTTGTGCGAGAGAATACTTGAAACTTATAATATTAAAATCAATAATAAACCATTATTATAATGCTACTACACAATAGGAGATCAGGCAGCAACCAGTTAAAAAAATACAATTGCTAACGAAATTTTAAATTATCCGTCGAATATTTTTGTTATTCATTAATATTTCTAAATAAAAAAAAATGACATATTTTTTCAATACATTTAGTCAGTATCTTATGTCAAACGATATACCCACCAGAGTGCATGTCGTCATCCGCGGGTAATTTGGTAATAAACTATCTAGGAAAAGCGCGGGAAAATTACTACAAAGTATAAAATAATTTTAGTGATTTACTGAAAATACAGCAGGTTGAAAGAATCGGATTTGAATGTTATCTATTTGTATATTTGAATATAAAGCAGCTAACGATTTTTACTGTAATTTCCTTTTGTTTACTCCACGAATGACGTCACGTCTCCGAATTGATGTTAACCTTAAAAAAATTTAGGTACAGTCAACAGCACAAGTTATACAAAACGGCCACATTCTCCGTATGATTTTAATCCTCCGTATTATTCTATTGAGGTTAGAGCTTACAATCGAAATATGACACATTGTGGTAGCCAGGCGTGCTTTTTTAAAGTTGTCCGATCCCCTATTGACACGAGGAATGTACTGAATCATTTCGATGTTCACTAATAACTACGCGAGTCTTTAAATTAGTAAGTATTTAAAAATATAACGAATTTAATATTATGAGCGTTCATTCTCAATTGGATCGCTAAAATATTAGAATAATAGTTTTTTGAAGTAAGTACCTTATTGGCAGATCTGTAAATATAGGTGAACGATCAGAATCGATAGAATCTAATCAAATAATTTTTAGTCATAAAGTCAGTTCTAGAGTAAAATGCGAATCTTGTACGATTCAATGTCATGTAGAGGAGATTTTATACTTATTCTGTTCCCATTTGTTATTTGAGTACTAAATATATAGTTAGGTAGAGTTTTAAAAACATTACTCCTCATAGATACAATGTTTGTATTTTGTGTAACCTTTGACATGAATCTTTTACAGACGGTAGTTTTTTAATATTACTTACTGTGACAGTACCGATCGTTAAATTATAAGAAGCTCTTCACAAAAAAAAAATAGTTACCAGTTTTATTATTTTGTCTGTTATTTTATTGTAAATATTTTTTAATCTTCTGCAAAAGATACTAAAAATAGGTGCACCGATTGCAAATTTATCCTGTATATGTAGAAAGATATAAGAAAATAATTAAAGATTAAAAAAAGATAGTAGGATCGGAGAATTCCGATATACAAAATATCCGGTCGATCGTAAAAGTTTCATGTCACATAGTCGAAATGTGAGGTAAATAAACTACCTGATAATAGCGTATCCATCCTGATTATTTTCCATAAACAAGTTAAATATTGCGTTAATTATTGCCAGTGACGAGGTCTGCGAGTCGCCTTACCAGCGAGTCATCGTGCGACGTGTGCGAGTGTTGGGACGTGCGCGAGGGACTGCGTGCCCCCGCCGACGACCGGCGCGCTCCCCCGGGCCCCGACCCCGACCCCGTGCCAGACGGGATAGTGCAGTTAGACGGTACCTTTACCGCACATCGTTTGTGGTAGTTCAGGCCGCATCCTATGGTGGTCAGTAAGTTCGATTAAGCCTTTAGAAATATATTCAATAAGGATGTTCATTATAATAATTAATTGAAATTGGGTATGCATGAATCGAATATATATTAAACTGAAAGTGGAATAAACAACCATACTGTTTGTAACATTACCTTCACACTTAAGCCCTTGGCGGACGAGTCCGAACAGCATCTCGCCGCAGAAATCGCAAAATGTGGGCGTCTTGTAGGAGTGCACAGAGAGCGCGTGCGGCCGTGGCGCAGGCGCATTCTCCAATCCTCCGTCGCATATCAAGGCTGTGGAAATTTGACAGAATAATAATGAGTTTAGGGTATCACAACAAGATGATGTGAAAAAGGAACTTGTTATGATATGAGTTACGGGCAGTAAATATAAGGTATGTAAACAATGTTAACTCACGGTTAGCAGTGAGCACAATCTCGACGAGGGTCTCGTCTGTAACGTCTGATGCGGCGTTCACTAGCTGCAGCACGTTGGGTGAACAATAGTCATGTCTGAATAGCAGAATGCGCTCTGATAGACGATTCAGGCCGTTGTCTGGAATCTGATGAACATACAATCTCAATAACATATCGAGTTGATTATTTTATTGATACGATTACAAACATACTTTCACAACCTCAACGCATAAATGTTGTTAATTTGTTTTTGAAATCATGATAATAATATTTTAAAGTTTCTCGCTATCCAGTTATCATACCTTCTCTTGTACGAATTTGACGGCGAGCTCCTTGAGGTAGGCGAGCGTGAGCAGATGCGTGGGGGCCGACACCGCGTCACGCATTACTCCCAGCTGGAACAGGAACGTCACCTCGTCCTCCATCGCGCCCGCGCGCCGACCCTGTGACAATTAATACTTTCTTATTATTTTATTCATTGTCTCACTTAATCTCAACCTCGGGACTACGGGATAAATCTATGATTTTTGCTTTTTGAATTCCATTCATTGCCACGTCTCAATAAGAAACGTCAATATAAAGAAAAAGACCCAAACACAATATGTTACTCTAAAATTAAAAAGGCAGAAATGGAAATGGTTGGGTCACATGATCAGGGGAAAGGACAAATGGAGTAAAATTATTACACAATGGTTTCCAAGAGAGGTAGACAACAGAAAAGATGGGACGATGATATTAGACAGGATGCCGGCAAAACGTGGAATATAATAGCTAGGGAGAAATCGGAATGGAGTAGGTTGGAGGAGGCCTTTGCCGACTGGCAAACGGACTTAAAGAAACACCACATTCGAGAATAACATTAAATACATAAGTAGACATGTAGTGTATCAGAATAAAAAAAAATGTAATTATAATTGTAATGTTCGAATAAAGGGTTTTTTGTTTTAATTGCCACCACTTTGTGCGGTGGGTTGTTATTGCCACCGTTTATGGATGACTGATACCCGCTAAACATATTTGTCAACATTGTAGCGTTATGGCAAAGATTGTGATGGCGGCGTCTATACGTTGGAAAACCTTCACTTTGTTTCGGCGCCAACTTGCTCACCAAGATATTTGACGATCCCAATCGCCACAATGTTGGGTAACGTGTAGACCGGAATTGGAGAATATTAGGTTTAGGTTTGCCGACCACAAAAGATGATGTACACTTATTTTATCTAGTGTTCTGTCGACTTATATTTCGCTATCGTCGCTTTTGTATTGCATGCGTTATAGGAGCGTTTTTACAGTGAGATCTAGAAGTAGCAAGTTGCTGAGATGGATAATATAGTAATTGTATAGTGAACAGCAAATCGGGTTTTATAAATTTGTATTTTATTTTCACTTTATTTTTAACCTTAATGTTTTGCGGGTAGACTTTAAAATCATCGGGAGAAATTTGAAATAGAGTGGTAACCTTTTTATTAATTTGCTTTAAGCCCCTGCAATCTGGCGTGGGGCGTGGGGCACTCCTCCGTCACCGTACCCACTGCTGGGAAGTAAGACCTAGGAAGTCGTGATGGCGACGCCAGGATACTGTCCGGAGAATCTCCGGCACATTGGCAGCTTCTCTCATTACATAACTGACGAGGCCATGCAATGTAGGTATGGCTACCGACCAACACGATACCCTCGACAAAGGGGAGGAATGCGTTAGAGTGAGATTCCTCTTCTTTTCCTGACGAGCACCCATATGTACAAGCAACTTGTTGTTCCTCAGGATATATAAGTCAATACCTATTAAGGTGTTCCACAGGGCTCGCCTTTAGAATCTCTCCTTTCGTCTTATATGCGGAAGGTTTAAATAGTTATTACATGAAGAAGTGATCTTAATGCTGATTGATTGGTATATAGAAAATAAAATGCATTTAAACGAAAAAATACCAGCTCATATATGTTATGTAATTGAAAATGTCTGAACAGCGTCGGTTTTCATGGTAATAATGTTGAGTGTTACAATTTAGGACTTGCACATCAACTTGTCACATTGTGTAACTACACTACAGTTGATTTTGACCGAAGAAATTCGATAGTATCGACAATCTGGCGCGCTGTTGACCGTACTTACATTACCTGTATTTCTAGGTAAATAAATTAAATATGATGTGATAGCTACGTTGTTTACAAGTATATCTTTTCTACTGAGGAATTCATCATTATCTTTAACATTTCTGGAACGCTTCTGTCATTGTGGTGAACGTGCATAATACAGTGCAGTTTCGAATACAGTGGTTTTGGTGCGATTACGAGTGCTCAGTGGGATAGGAAAAAGATGATCAAAGTGTACAGTAATAATTTAGATTATGAAAGACTGTAACTGGAACCTCATACCTGCATATAAAAAACAGACGTCTTTTATAATTTATACATATTTATAAACATTGTAATTTTTTTATTTAATTTCAAAGATTACAAGAGGAAAAGTCGCATCGATTAATTGGATACATACTGCGTCGAATTAAACATAATACCCTTGGTATAGGGTCAGGTAGCTTTTTTTATCAATAGTGCTGTTTTTTTATTTGCAATGATATATTTTTGGCGAGTCTTAATTCGAAATGAGTGTTTCTCGAGTTTGCTCGAGAATATCAAGTAGGTAAGGCTATTTTTAAATACGACGTTTTTTTGAATCTGTATATAACCATTTTTGGTAAAGGAACGCTTTCTTCAACTGGATTAATGTGAAATGTAAAAAGTGTCAAATTAACAATCAAATTACAATAACCAAATACATTAGCATTATTTATGGCCTTACGAACGTTTGTAAAAGCTTTGGAAAACAGCAAGCCCCACTTAATTCAGCGTTTTCAAATTTTAAATTATCTAGTACTTCAATGAAACAAGAGATTGCGCAATAGGTGGTTTACTTCAAAATAAAATCGCAGCGGTCACCTATTTATTATCTCATTGAATGTATTAGTAAATATTTACGTTAATAATGCAGCTTCCAAGAAAAATATTATCTGCTTACGTAATTCTTCACCCGAAGGACGATATAGGTGTATTTGGTGATTTCAAGTAATATCGATTAATTTAATTGAGAAAAAACAAAACCCTAGTTTAAAATATAAAACAATACATATACCAATCTGATTAGAACAAAGTAAAAAAACTATCTAATAATTATTTATTTATTCTCACCAATATATATAGCAGCTCAGAAGCTAACAGAAGACAGGGAGCAGCTCGGATTGTATGGGCGTGCTTATTTCGTTCAGTTCATATCTCAAAATTTTCTGTCTCCTCCAATATGTTTTTTCCATCGAATACTCTGTTAAAAGTTAGTGGGATTCGGAGTCCAGGAAAGTCTGCTACGCTGGCTTATTTCCTACTTAGATTACATGAGTCAACTTGTGAGCATAAAGGGTTATCTTTCTCCTCTGGTTACTGTTTCTTCTGGCGTTCCGCAGAGCTAGCATTTAAGACCGTTGCTATTTGCGATATTTATCAATGTTTTAGCGAAACGTCTCACTAGCAAGGACATTGCTTGCTTTATGCAAAAGATCTCAAAATCTACCACACCGTTCAGAATTCCCTTGACAGTGTCAAGCAATAGCATAACTTAAGACGTGACGGGGTGGTGCACGGATAATCGTAACAACAGCGAACTTCTGTGATCAAAGATCTTGGGGTTTACTTTAATGAAAACCTCACGTTTAGAGAGCATTTTGATTATATAATCCACTAAAGGATTTAAAAACCAAACCATATTTTTGTGCCTTTATTACTCATTAATAAGAACCATACTGGAATATGCCTCAGTTGTTTGGAAGCCTCACTATGAAGTTCACTCGAATCGCATCGAGAGGGTTCAACAGAAGTTCCTCGGCATTCTTTCTTTCAGATTAAATTTGGGTCGAGAATACAAGTCCTACGCGTTAAAGCTACAAAAATTTTAAATGTCCAGCCTTTCGGTTCGGCGCAAAAGTCATCAGTTGATATACTTATTTAAAATAAAGCATGCACTCGTCGACTCACCGTCTCTTGTCTACTAAATTTTAATATAAAATACAGATCACGTAATCCCCATAAAACAAAATGTTCTACCTGCAAATCTATAGAAATAACACCTCATTTTATAATCCCATTACAAGTATGTGTCGCCTGTATTGTGATCTTGTAGTCGAACATTCTTCACTAGATGTCTTTAACGGTAAAGTCATCATCATCAGTCTTTTTACGTCCCCACTGCAGGGGCTAAGGCCTTCCTTATTGATGGTCAAAGGAGGATGGGCCATGACCCTCCACGCTGGCCCAATGCAGATTGGATTAACGACTGCAAATGCAGCCGGGACCAATGGCTTAACGTGCCTTCCGAAGCACGGAGTAGCTCGAGATAATAATTTTTTGGTCACCCATCCCGTGACCGACCCTTGCCTAAGTTGCTTAACGACAACGATCGCGGGCCACGGCGCTTACCCACTATGCCACCGAGCTAAACGGTAAAATACTTACTTTTAAAAGACAAGTCCAAGCCATCCTGCGCACTTGGAAACATGTGTTTGTTTGTTTTCTTTATATCTTATTTAGCTGTATTCTTTTTCTTTTTTTGTATAATGTTCTGTGACTACGTTCTGATGTTGCATTGTATATTTGGTCCTTACTTTGCTCACTTGGTGTGCACTATGCTCACAAACAAACTGGTGCTATTTAGAAAGAAAGTTCTAGTGTAAATAGAATTTAAAAAATTGAGAAAAAATTTGGTTGCTGGATTGGAAAAACGATTTTTTTTTTTTCATTTTGCACATGTGTAAAATTTAGCTTATACCTACAACAATAATTTAATTTGTATAGGGACTTATAGTTGCTGTGTGGCGCGTAATTAAAATAAGGCAGATCCCGCGCCTCGCCTAGTACGTTTATGTATATAAGATACATAACTTCGAAATCACTTTGATAGCCAGGTCAATTTGAAGCTAATTATCAAGGTACATACAGATAAGCCATAGGTTTTAATGTACCACCTCTAATCAAAGACGATTACAATAATCTATCTATGAAGGTCTTCAAGATGCGCAAGCGCATGTTGTTATGTAACGTCACACGTGGCTTCCGCCAGATAAAACAATTGATTCAGAGTAGGTAGATATCACGTCTATTTATTGCAGCATCGTAACATAAATTCATTCATATAAAATAAAATATAAAATAAGTGTTATAAAATAAATTCATTCATAATATTTTTGTAAAATGTGTTATTGTAGTTACTTGACGGTACTTGACTAAACTCAGGCTGAGGCAGCCTACCTCATGTACTTGGCAAAGTCGCTTTCCTCGAAGACGCTGCCAAAAACTTTTGAGTTATAACAAAACATTGTATGGTGGAATTGTACCTCTTTAATAGATCTACAAAGAAGGCCCCGGTGGTTTATGTCTATATTCCAAGGATAACCCACAATAA